AAAGGAAAGATTACAACAGTGGAACCGCTGCGATTTAATAGAAGCATTTCAAGGTAAGTAATTATTAATTTAGTGATGTATAAGAGTTGTTTTTTTTAAAGACTTTTGTCTGTTAATGCTAATGAACTGCCTCCTCTGAAGCCTGGTTTCTCCCAAGACTTTTTTCTCTCTCTACCACCAAAAAGGAGTTCTTTGCCACAGTTGCCTGTGACTTGCTCATCAAAGGATCAAAGCAATAAAGGGTTTGTTCACCCAAAAATGAAACTTCTGTCATTAAGTACTAACCCTCATGGCGTCCCAAACCCGTAAAATAGTGAACATGACTACAGTGGTTCAAACTTAATGTTATGAAGCGACAAGAATACTTTTTGTGTGCAAAAACAAAAATAACCACTTATTCAACAAATTCTTCTATACCCTGTCATACTGCTACGCTATTTTCGTTGCAGAGCTTCAGTGTTTACATCAGAACTCAGGCTCAGTATTGGCCGATGCATGTGTGTGATACTGTTTTTATTTTGTTTTTACATTTGTATTCTCGTCGCTTCATAATATTAAGGTTGAACCGCTGTAGTCACGTTGACTATTTCATCGATGTCTTTAATACCTTTCTGGGCCTTGAAAGGTGCAATGACACTGCTGCCTATGTGTGGTTCAGAACCCTCTCGGATTTCATCAAAAATATCTTAATTTGTGTTCAGAAGATGAACGAAGATCTTACAGGTTTGGGACGACATGAGGGTGAGTAATTAATGACAACAATTTCATTTTTGAGTGAACTAACCCTTTAAGTCATGAATTTTTATAACAGCTCTCTGATAAAACTACTTGTGGCACTTTTCCACTGCATGGTACGGCACGGTATGGCTCGGTACGGTTCACGTTTGGGGGGTTTTCCACTGGGTACAATACCTGGTACCTGGTACTTTTTTTAGTACCACTTCGGTTGGGGTTCCAAGTGAACCGTACCATTACCAAAACGTGACGTGTAAACTCTGCGGATCATGGATTGGCCAGAGAGAATCGTCACTACCTGCGTCACTGAACTTGCGACACAAACACAAAAGAACCGCTAGATTTAAATCAGCACAGCCAGCGAAAGATCAAACGCAACTGTTTTGAATGAGCGCACCTTTTTTTTAACAACCAAAAAGTTTTGTTGTCTGTTGCGGAAGTACAGACGTTCCTCTCGTTGATAGCAGAGGAGCGGATCCAGCGAGAGCTTGATGGGGCGATGCGGAATGAAAAAGTTTTTTTCAGGAGTCGTGGTAGTAGAGGCGGCTCAACTATAACGACATGTGAATAATCCCGCCCACTCTAAAGCGGTACAGTGGAAACGCAAACCGTGCCGTACCCAAAAATGAAAATTCTGTGATCATTTACTCCCCCTCAAGTTGTTCCAAACCTGTATGATTTTCTTTGTTCTGCTGAACACAAAGGAAGATATTTGGAAGAATATCAGTAACCAAACAGGTCTCGCCCCCCATTGACTACCATAGGAAGTTCAAGTTAGATAGAAAGAGCTTTGGCATATACTTTGTAACTTTTAAAATAGTTTACATGCACAAACAGCTATATTACTACCTAAAGGAAAAGTAAAATCCAAAAAAGGATAATATAGGCCCATTAAATTACACTGCTCTGTACATAAACTCTTTCCTTCAGTGATTCTGCTTTTTATCCACAGGTGTCATGACTAATGGTCATTCATCACTTTTAGAGTTAACCTACTTTAATTCACTACAACACTGCTTCAGTTTTACTTTTACACAGTGTAACACTGCTGTTTTTTTCTGCGATTAATTTGTAAACATATTGAATCCCTGGAATGTTTGTCATATATGCCAACTAAAGTTTATTTATTCTTTCAAGGTTGGTACTAATATGGTGCACTTCCTCAACAATGAGACAAGCCAAGATCCACATGTCTTGGAGCTTGGAGACAAAGAAAATTCCTCTCAAGTTTTCATCATTTTCAATGGAGAGGCAGTTGAAAAGGAGACCTTATTTCAAGCAGTGGATGTATGCTTCAAAATATTCTACATCTACGACATAAACTACCCAAAGCCCTCTGCTCCCATTTGGAAGTTCTTGCAGCATGCAGTCTATAATATTCCTGGAGGAGTTCCTTCTACACATTCCTTCCTCCTAAAAATGCCTCCTAAAAACCTTTGTATTCAATGTTACTGATCATCAGTAGATCCAGAAGCCAAAACACACATTAAGGTGTTTATAACACAATGCATATGGTGTACACTGTAGCCTTTTTTATTAAGGATATGTTTATTTCTTGAAGTATTATAAAGGTATGTCCTTGGTGTACACATTTGTGTAGTTTTTGAATTGGTATACTGAATGTGCACATTTGTGATTTAAATTTGTATACCGTATGTGCACAAATGTTTTTAGGTTGTATATTTCTGTTCTGTATGTGCACATCTGTGTTTTAAATGTGTATTATATGTGCACCTGTGTAGGTTTTGAATTGGTAAACCATATGTGCACATTTGTTACGAATATTTGTACTGTATGTGCATATTTGTGTTTTGAATTTAACGTGTATTTTAATTTATGTATATTGTATGTGTACATTTGTTTTGAAATTAATGTGTATTTTAATTTATGTATATTGTATGTGCACATTTGTTTTGAATTTAATGTGTATTTTGAATATTTGTACTTCAACATTTATTTGCCATGTGTTCTACATGTTCACTCCTGTATTTTGAATTCAATATATGCAAATAATTGTGCATATTTATATTAAATACTAGGCTCACCAATATTGAGTACATTTGTAATTTAAAACTTAAAACCTGTTTTTAAAACAGATTTATTGTTTTTTTACTTAAATAAACAATCTGTATTTGAAAACAGTTTTTTATTCATTAAAATAATATCATGAATAAAAGTAAATAGTTAACCCAACAGTTGGGTAATTTTTAACCCAACTGGCTCTTAACCCAATCATTGGGTTAAAAATAACCCACAGTTGGGAAGGTGCTATGTTAACCCATAGTTGGGTTACTTGTTGGGTTATTTTTAACCCAACATTTTTTAGTGAGTAGGAAGCCATGGCGGAGCAAGGAACTCAGGGGGCAATGGTGGAGCAGACAGTTCAGGAGGCCGTGGCGCAGCAGGCAGACTAGGAAGCCATGGCGGAGCAGGGAACTCAGGGGGCCATGGCGGAGCAGACAGTTCAGGAGGTCATGGCGGATCGGGCTCCGTGGCCTTGAATTTGGCACTTGGCCCGGCCTCTAAGGAGCCCTTTAACCCCCCCCCCCCCCCCAAAAAAAATACTTGGGGAAAATATCAACCCCTAAGGCCCTCCCTGGGCTTGACTTGGGGACTGGAGCCCTCTCTTTTTCATCCTCCTCCTTTGGTTAAAGGATTTTTTTTTTGCAACTAACCGACTAATACAATTTTAGTCGAGAAAGCCTCTTTTCGTTGACTAATGTTTAGTCAACTATTAGGGGGCAGCCCTAGAATTAATTTTGATGTGCAACCAGCGCAATATGTACAGCTTTTCTAATGTTGTAAACTTGCTTGATAGCTCACCTGGTGCAGCACTGCACATATGATGTTGAATGCTGAGTGAAAGAAGTCCCGTGAAACATGAATCACAACAAGCTAACTGGCATGGCTACTATTGGATTGGTATAGGGTAGGGCTTAGTGTAGGTGGTACAATATTTTCAAACACAATATATCATTAAACTTTGGGTCACACATTGGACATTATATTTTCAAACTGCTGTGAGACAAACAACAACCAGCATACATAATGCTGCTAGATGCAAGTTTAACTGTTTCAAATAAAACTGATGCTGTTTTTTAGTGCCACTCCCAGGACAATTCACTTTAAACGTATTGCTAAATGTGCAAGAAGCAGCTTAATATCATTCTGCAGAAATGTCGCCACAGGCACAACTTTCCAATGAGCCTGGCTTGCAAGAACAAATATAATATAATATAATATAATATAATATAATATAATAGTTCAAAAGTTTAGGGTCATTAAGAATGTTTTAATGGCAAGTCTGTTACAGTACACTCACAAGTGCTGCATTTATTTGATCAAAACTACAGCAAACAGTAGTACTGTGAAATATTATTACAATTAAAATAACTGTTCCTGTCATGGCATTACTCTAGTCTAGACCTCAGTGTCACATGATCCATCAGAAATCATTCAAATATGTAGATTTAGAAGAAACATTTCTTATTATCAATACTGTACTTTAAATTTGTGCAAATTTTTTTAAAGTTCTTTGATGAATACAAAGTTCAAAAGAACAACAATTTATTTGATTTTTATTTATAACAATGTAAATGTCATTTCAATGCATTCTTACTGAATAAAAGTTTGCTTAAAACAAATCTTACTGACCCCAAACCTTTGAGCGATAATGTATCTTCTATTGATATATCTTTCAACAGCAAATAAAATATGCTATTTTCAACCAGGTGTCCAGCTATTATTAACAGATTAATATTATTAAGAGCTATTATTATTTCCCTGTGTTTACATACGGTTCTCAGAAACACAGTATTGTTACTGAAGCAGAACATGAGTCTATCTCTCATCCTCGACAAGCCCAGCCAGGCTGTCATCTACGTGCTGTATATCTCCCCAAACTTTACACTTATCATGCAATTAAGCATGACACGCAAAAAGTGGAGAGGAATTTGTAGCTGATTTGCAGAAAAGTTTCTTAGAAAAATAAGTTCTGAGAGTTCTTGAATGCACAGGCCTTTGTTACACGTGGCAACAGGTGGCACAAAAGCAATCAGTGTAGCGTAGACAATTTTTTGTGCTTCTGTTTTTGGGTCTGATGTTCACAGTTGAGCAAACACTATGAATATCAGACGTGTGGGGTAAAAGATGAGGAAGTGCAAGCAAATGAAGAAAGTTCAGAGACTTTTTTTGTTGCAGTAGTGAGATGTGACTTTTTCAACAGTGAATGAAGTGATGCTGATGAGAGAATGGGAGCTACTCACGTCAGGAGGGAACGTGGTGGAAAGCAGAAGGTACCATGGCAGATGCGGTCGATATAGTTGAGTGGAATCTTCTGAATCTGCTCACAGTTAAGCATGACAAAGTCATATTTGAAGACGAGGAGGGTGTTCTCTGTGATGAGCACCAATCGCTCTTTCTCATTGTTCCAATGATCAACTCTACACAGTAACAGGAAAATGGAGAGTATTAAAATATTGGTAATAGTTGTAAAGATGCACAATGAAAAACAATTCTGGCCAATGTCAGAACCATAGCCTTGTACACAGTGCAGATCAATCAATCAATCAATCAATCAATCAATCAATCAATCAATCAATCTCTAATAACTTACTAACACTTTTTTTTAGCAGTGCTCTATGCAATTTTTTTAATGGAATGGCTCTCGTAATATATGTCTGAATTAGATGTTCTGAAATATCACCTGGTAGTTGAAGCGGGTCAATCATTCAAGCAACATATTCAACGTCATAAGCAGTTGTCAGTTGTGTTTGTTGTGCAAAAATTTTGCTATTGCTTTTGACTACTTTGACAACACCAAAATTATGTGCCACTGCTCTTGGCCAATTCTATAGCCTGATAATAACTTACTAACACTTTTTTTTAGCAGTGCTCTATGCAATTTTTTTAATGGAATGGCTCTCGTAATATATGTCTGAATTAGATGTTCTGAAATATCACCTGGTAGTTGAAGCGGGTCAATCATTCAAGCAACATATTCAACGTCATAAGCAGTTGTCAGTTGTGTTTGTTGTGCAAAAATTTTGCTATTGCTTTTGACTACTTTGACAACACCAAAATTATGTGCCACTGCTCTCCCGCTTCAAAAATCTCAACGGTACAATGGCATGTTTGTGGTCTGGCAGGAGTTCCAGAGTGGTTAATATCACTAACAGCATTTTTAATCAAAAAGAGTTTAATTCTCTGGAACATGTTAGCAAGGGTCCCCTACTGGGCCCGACTGCAGACCTCTGCTGTGTTGCATACAGTACATCAATGTAACTACACAAGAACTGGCCTACATTCCCACAAATCTGTCGCTCACAATTCTTCCACAGCTCTGATCAAGCACAGAAGGATTCTAAAACAAGTTGTTGGACATATGTACATTTACAGTTTGACAGATTAGTTTAGCACATGTAGATAAATGAATCTTGCCGCGTAATGGCAACATAGAGCAGGCTTTTTCAAACTTTCTCTTGTCAAGTATGTAGAAAATATTTACTTTGTACTAAATTGTGTATCAGTGTACGTATATTTTCTACCCAATATTAGAGTACAGTTAAAAGTACAAAAGTTCAAATTTATTTAAATGAACAATGAAGTGTAAATATTAATCCAAGTAGAATGCTGTCTTTAAAAACCACTGGATAACAAAAGCAAGCATTCTTTAACTTATGGGCCAAGTAAGTTTTTTTTTTTACAAAAATATATACAAATTGTCTTCTCTCTCAAACTTTCCACAGGCCTCCTAGCATGGGCCAGATCCCAGTTTGAAAACTCCTGGCTTGCGGAATATTTTTAAAATAATTTATGCACAGTGGATTTTATCAATTACAAAGGCTATTCTATTGAAAACCAACCAATCAATCAATAGCTAGCTGCAGTGGCTGTGAATTCTCTGCCGAGTTATTTTGATAAAAATGTCTATAAGCATGATGTGGGTCTAAATTATGTAGGCCTGCCGCCTACATAATCTAAAGGCTTCAAAATTTCAACAATTGCCTTTGGTATACTTGTTCAAATGTTGATACCTGCATTTTTAGATCCCAAAGACATGTCAAAACAAAGATGTGTGTTCAGAAAATGAATAACTGATGGATAAGCCACTTTTTAAAAGCTACGTTTTATTTTTGTCAGTGCTTTCACCTCAACTGGCCAGTGAGAAGTTAATTTATGGAGATCTTATGAAGATTTCACTTTCTCACATCAGATTTGGACAGTGACAGAAATAGCACATGGGAATCTTAGTACATTACAGGGCCTTTATGTATTCTGGTGTTTAATTTAGGTAATTTTCACTTGTTGAGAAACTTATGACTAGGCAAACTGAATATTTACCTTGAATATTTACCAGACTGGGTATGTGGGCCTGGGGACAGTAGGTGTGAAAGACCACACAAACACCACATAGATGCACACACACTAAGAGGCACTTTTCCTTTTCTGCTAGATTAAACTAGATTTTCAAAGAGTTGGATGACTGTTTACATACAAGGGTCTGTGGTTAAACTCAATGATAATTTTGTATCTTTTTATTACATCAATTAAGAATGTGCAGAAAATGTGTTGCTTCATATACTATGAATATGTAACAGTGATTTACATCTGTTTTAATTCAAACTTTTACATGGTACTGTAGATTTTTATAAAAGCATATTCCACATTGATTTTAAATTATTCACATAATGCGAGGACATGCTCAGGGCAAGCTATATGAATGTTTGATAATGAACAAATGTGGCACATGAGACTATTTAAAGCTACTTTAATGCAACTAGCCTATATATTAAGCCTTTCAGGTGTCTTTGTTTTGACAGCAAAAAGCTATTTCCTACAATGTCTTCCATAAGAAATTTATAGCAGTCAAAATGCATGAATTGCATGAGCTTCATCTATTGTTTCAAGCCTAATCTCAAACCACAGAACTGCTCAGGAATTGAGAACGAGTCCAGAGCATGGAAAATATTATATTATTAATTATCATATAGCAAGACATTTAAATTGTTTCCTGAAAGCCTGCGCAGAGACAGATAGAAGTGCCAGCACATTTAGCAAAATGTCTTCTAGCAGCTCTATTCTGCTGCCTGCTTATTTCGCTTTAAATATTACTGAACATTTTACTTATTTACAGAACACGGAGTGAGATAATGGATTGCATCCTGGAATGAGAGCTATTTGACAAAAGACCTGAATGTGATTTGCTTACTCCATGTGAACGATGCATATTTGCAGAACAGTCTGTACATACTTTAACTATAATGTGTTCTCTTACAGAAAGAAACAAAACTTTAAAAAAAAAAACTTACTCAGCCATGAGCCAGACACTCTGGACAGCACCATCTTCTGTGGGATTCACCAGAGCTTTAACATCCTCAATGCCATGGTCCAGTGTTCCAGGCTAAAATGACAAAACACAATAATTCATCTGCATCAAGACATATTAAAATCAGTGGCATCTGTGCATTAGGGTCTAGTGGAGATAGACATGGTCAAAGTGGTCCATATGAAAAAAGCTTTGAAAAGGATTAAAACCAAAATGTTAAGCACATATGATTTCCAATTTAAATTAATTAATTCTAGATGTCTACCATAAAGTTCCTACAAATTACAGATTGTCATTTCAAGTGACCTTCTTTGGTCAATTTTACTGAAATTATTCTAACTATTAATTGGTTAGTGTTGTGCCACACCAGAAATTAGAGCAAGAGATGTTAATGATTGCAATACAAGTAATAATACATCATAGTGCTTGGTCATAAAAATGCAATTGTATTGCAAATGTGAAAAATAGTTGTAAGAATTGGTTGCCAATGCAAGTGTGATGGTTTTAAGGCATAAGTAATGCCTTTTCACCACTTTCATAAAGCAAAATTTGGTATTTGAGCTGGCCAACAGACACTATTTGTTAATCAAATGACCTCAGGTAGACTGAGGAAATAGAAAACACGAAAACGGCCTTTGGTGATCTCTACAGGTAAAAAATATATGTTTGACTGAATATTAGCAGGCAGCACTGGACAAGTAAAGTATTCGGGCTGTCATTGTTTGCTTAACGTGATTGAGGATATTCATATTTACAAAAGGTGTTGTCATCAGCATTATATTGTACCACAGAACAACCATGGTTTGTCAACATACAAAAGAAACGTAGATTGTGTCAGAAATGATTACTAACACAGTGGAACACCAATTTGTGGCCAACCCAGAAAACTGAGGCTTCAGTGAGACTTCAAATAGGCTAAAGACATTACCCTGAGGACAAAAAATCTCTTCAGTTTAAACTGTTCCGCAGATGATGTCCATTTAACTTTAGCTGCTGAAGTATGTGTAGAGGGGGTGCTTTCTGCCTTGGCTTCTGTAGAAGGTGTGCTGGGTTTATCTGCTTCTGTTTCACTTGGAGATTCTTGAGGATTGATGTCTGGTTCCGGAGACTTTTCGGTTTGCTGCTCCAAGTCCACAGACTTGAATGTCTCCTCATCTTTCTCTGACATAGTGACCTAGATAGATTAGATCGTTTGCAAAGCTCTGAGGGAAATTATGCTGAAAACACCCATAAAGTATAAACAATATATAAATAAATTGGAACATTTTTTTAAGTGTCGTAAGTTTCTACACTAATCAGCACGAAACTTACAGCCCCTAGTAGCACCAGTTAGAGTAGTCCGATTCCCAAACAATGAATCGTTTAAATCGGTTCTTTTTAGTGAATAAACAAGTGTAGTTCAATATCCGAACAAATGATTTCTATGAGCCAATTCTTTTTAATGAATCAAAACACTAATGAATCAATTGGTAAGGTTTCACTCAGAACCTAAATAGGCCTAAACCAAGAACTGTGTGATGCTGTCATGCTGTGGAAAGTCATTAAAATGTTCATTTACGCAAATCTTTGGCCAAAATTGTAGATACTACATTTATTTCGGATTCCTTATGTTCTGTTGCAGCGATATCATCGTTTGGTAACAGGCTGCTGATGACAATAAAATACATAAAATGTTATAATTTTATGTATTTCAATAGTAGGCCTACTAAAAGAATCGTTATTACAGCATGTCAAGCGGATTCTCAATCAAACCCAGTAAGTCTAACCCGTAGCCCTACTTACAATTCCCATCCCTAGCCTGCAACAATAACATATTTAATACATATTTTAAACGGTTGTAGTTGCTATAATAGTTAAACGTATTAAAATGCTGACAGGAAATGTATATCTTACCACTGGCTGCAAGAATTAAATCAACGTGCTATGTTTTAACAAGACGGTTTGACTCCGCGTCAGGTGCACCAGAACATGCCTATTTCCTGCTTCCGTGGTATTCCGTGATGTGAAGATGGGCGTTGAACAGAAAACGAAACCTCTCTAGACCACAGCAACCCACTGGCTAGAGTATGTAGGCTGTAGGAAATAGCCTACATGCTGTTCCAACAATAAGTAACAATACTTTTAAGTAGAACAAATTAGTTCATAAATCTCTTAATCTCAATATCTAATTCTGGTCACCTTGAATAACCAATAAGACTGTGGCTATTTTTCTTTCCCATCTTTGACATCAATTCAAATAGCCCAAGCCACCCACATTTATCCAATATTTAATACATATTTTAAACGGTTGTAGTTGCTATAATAGTTAAACGTATTAAAATGCTGACAGGAAATGTATATCTTACCACTGGCTGCAAGAATTAAATCAACGTGCTATGTTTTAACAAGACGGTTTGACTCCGCGTCAGGTGCACCAGAACATGCCTATTTCCTGCTTCCGTGTATTCCGTGATGTGAAGATGGGCGTTGAACAGAAAACGAAACCTCTCTAGACCACAGCAACCCACTGGCTAGAGTATGTAGGCTGTAGGAAATAGCCTACATGCTGTTCCAACAATAAGTAACAATACTTTTAAGTAGAACAAATTAGTTCATAAATCTCTTAATCTCAATATCTAATTCTGGTCACCTTGAATAACCAATAAGACTGTGGCTATTTTTCTTTCCCATCTTTGACATCAATTCAAATAGCCCAAGCCACCCACATTTATCCCGATACACAATGAGACAACTAACTGTATTTTTCTCGACAGCATTTAGGATTTCACACTTACGCTTAATCTTCTGGCAGAGAGGGACACGGGAAAAATTTGTCCCGCATGCTTTTCACACATAGGCCTACTGTGGCCACAGATACATTGTGCAGTTTACTCCTGTTTTACGCTTATGTTCCACCTTAGACGCGTCCTCCCAAAAATACCAATTCAAGCAGCCGATCGAAGCCCTCAAATATTCAGACAAACAATTATTTGAGTGGGATGTTTGGGGTTTGCTTTCTCGAGCATTAGAGCCTTCTACAATGCATCAAAAGGCTTCACCATTCAAGTGTCATTTTCTATTCCTGCTAATCGCTTTTGACGCGACACGCTTCGTGGCCACACGCCTCACTTTATCTGGCCTGTTAGAGAAAGCTATTCAACCTAGCTGCTCGATGAGATTTTTTTATGTATTTATTTTTATTTAAAAAAAAAAGAGAAATCTGCGCAGTAACAATTCCCCTTCAAAGGCATTATTAACTGCGTGCATGTGAGAGAGACACTTTGTAATGTTTTCACAGCCAGGCATGATACAATAAAATTCTGTTTTCAGATGCATAATCTAAGTACCACTCAGCAGCCGCCGCAGAGCAGCTTTTGCATTCAGCTCAAGCACAAATTGCTTTGTCACGAACTCTTATTAGCTTGCAAACTAAATATTGTGTCGGCACAACTAATATAGTATGGTTTTCTAGGAAGAAAACTGAAGGAGCAGTCTTGCAATATAGCCTATTGTCTATGGTCTTTAGATCAAACTGCATCTTGTACATCCTTACTGTATTCCTGTAAGATCTTATGGGTCACAAATGTAGGGCACTCATATCTTCTTCTGCTTTATCATATCATGTTATTTGAACCCTTTTGGGAACCTAACAGTATCCTACTGTGTATCCAAGATTCGGTTACCTATAAAGCGATGAAATTTCCCCAGGAGCTAGGAATAAAACGACTTTATTAACCATTATAAATTATAGTTATTTGGTCGAGTACAGGACAGCGGTTTAAACAACGCAAAAGGGAACTTGAGGAAATGTGACGTCTCATTCTGGACTGTCAAACATCGTAAATTCAGCTTAATTGAAATGAACAGGCTCAGTGCAGCTGAATAATAACCTCTAACAAAAACACTGGACCATGTTTTACCATCTGCTCAACACAGTTGTTCATTTTCCTACAGTTTACCAACCATAGCAGCATCATTATTTACATAAAAGCTGTGTGTATCCCTTGTGCTGTGCTGAAAATCATTCATTTGGTGTTCCTGAAAGAAATATTCTTGTAAATCTTTCATTAAGTTGTTTTCTTTCAGTTAACACAGGCTTTGTATTTCTTTTAAATGAATGAATGAATAAAACCTCTGATAACTAAAAGAAAACAATTTGATCAAATGACTTAATCAAAGATTTGGTATCGGGTAACAAGAAATGTCTAAGCAATTTTTTGTTGGCTGGTCATTTTGAACCGAAAACACCTAAATGTATCCAATCTTGGGGGAAAGTCACTAGATTTTAGTCCAATCCAATAACATTAACTAGCAATTTTGGGAACAAGAAAATCCTCTTTGGGTCAAAATAACCAGAACACCGCATGAGAAATAGATAAATGAGTTCATGGATTTTCAGAGCAGGAAACAAGCCCTTCCTCATGTGTCTCTTTAACTGTCAAAAAAGACATTTGCATCAATTGCATGATCACATGACCCCTATATGTGCATTCACATATGTGCCAATGTATAGTATATCGTGTTCACAGTGCACAACTGCTGTTTTGACAATAACAAACCTCTGCAAATGCCATGTGTTCAAATGCTTGCTCAAATGCCTCGTTGCACAGCATAAGCATGTGGCGATCTTCTGTCTTCCCCGTACGGGCAGAGACGCTGTAATTCAATTATATGACTGCATTTATCTTTGTTGGGTCAAATGCCAGTGAAGCTTAAATTAAGTTCAGGACAGTGTGCCTGATCAGCAGATGCTGTACAACCTTAAACGCCCCAGGGCATCCACAGCTGTGTTTACCGAGCAAGAATGAGCTGAACTCGCTGTGTATTCATGGCCATGCATTAGTGTGGTGGTAGTGTGCGTTGTTTGCATTTGTGTGGCTGTATTTCTTGTTTGATATGATGATTATAAGCTTGTGTGAGTGTGTACCGTGTTTCTGAGGCAGAGTGACCCTTGCCACTGGTTATGTTGTGCAGGAGTGTAAAGATATAGTTATGAGGCCTCATTATCTTTGCAGTTGATCACTCAGCTGGATGATATCCAGCAATAACACCAAGCGCAATGCAGGAATCAGTCCCTCTAGTCTTTAGCCGTACATGTCACATTTTTCCTCTTTGATGCAGCTCTACCCATAAACCCTGCTCTGCCTGTTCTTATGATTTAGGAGGTGCTGTTTTGTTTCAGACGTGCTTATGGGTTTCCAATTCAGAGTACATTTCAAAATGATTCAGCATTAACTGCCTCCACAGGATAGGGTGCTATTAGAAAGTACATAAGTACAGCTTTTTTTATATAGCATAAAAACAATCTTGAAACATACTCTTTGATAAGCTTTGATCATTCTTTTCATTTCTTTTCTTTTCTTGTTCTTTAATCCTTTTGAATGGTAGTGTTTTTAAACAGTAAAAACTGCTTTCAACATATAATAATAATAAATGTTTCTTGAGCACCAAATCAGCATATTAAAATGATCTCTGAAGCATCACGTGCCACTGGAGTAATGGCTGCTGAAAATTCAGCTTTGCCTTCACATTTTAAAATATATTGAAACACAAAACAATTCTTTAAAATTGTAATTAATTTCCCAATTACAGTTTCCATTGTATTTTTTGATCAAATAAATGCAGCCTTGTCGAGCATGAGAAATGACATTAAATATTTTAAATAAACAACAACAATAACAATTATTATTATTAATAATATTTTGATTATTCATTAAATTTTGAATAACATTAAGGACCATGATGGAATTGTTTTTAAACTTTATTGTGCTATCCTTGATTAATTGAATGTATTTCACTACTTTTCTGTCTAATAAATCTAATAAAATCAATTTTTATATTTTTCCTTAAAGCATATTAATATTATATTAATAAAGCATTCAACACTCAATGGAAATTTACATGATTATAATTAATTATAGTATGTTATATATTATAGTAACATACTATAATTAATTATAGTAATTAATTATAGTATATTATAGTAATTATAGTATATCAAGTACAGTATGTCAGCCTTAAAAATTGTAATTTGTATAACATAAAATGTAAAAAATGATCTAGACCTTGTTCTATATTATATTATATTGCTCATGTTAGGTTGGTGTTTAGGCCTATGTGTTCAAAAGAGAAGACATTGGAATTGAGTATAGAGGAGCAAAACTGCATCTAGATTAAACTTCTGAAAAACTCAATGCTATGCTAGTAACACTTTCACCCATATCATCACGTCTCCCAGCGCTCTGACCGTGCAGTAACCTGCCTCTTCAGCACCTTGGCCTTGCCCTGATATGTCTGGAGGGTATGGTTTCATGCTCATCCTTCTGTATTCCACTTGACTGTATCACATCATCACTAGAGCGGAAGACATGTAAGGAGCAGACAAGCGACTGCACACAGCAGTACAGTATCCCTGTACATAGAGGGCCAGAACATTTGACCAGAGAGTCCAGAGAGACCTCTTCCAAATGACTGCTGACAGCTCCTCTCCTGACAGCAGCTCCTCAGAGTCAGCCAGTATGTCCAGGAAGGTAAACAATGTTGCACAAGCTGATGTGACGGCACTTAGTCTGCTGCACTGTGACAGACTGTGACAAATGATTGCAAATGAACAACAAATCTTTACAATATGAATCACTGGTGGTGACACTTTAAAATAAAAAACAACAATTAATCAGCATTCATTCATCTAAGTTAATGTTAATTGTTTTTAAATTTTAAGTAATTTTCATTGTTGCCTTTGGCTTACTCAGTTGGGAACTAAAAGAAAATTAATATTGAGTAATTTTAGCAATTTAACTTGTCAGATGAGAACAAAATTTGAACCAAGCTGGATAATGACACTTTGCAACATCGACTGAAAGGAATAAACACTGAACTGAGCTGAATTATGACACTATTGCCTTTTGTAGAGCTGCTATATAGCTGAATTGAACTTGTTTCATAATTGATAAACTCTGCAACACTGATGCAAATATTGAACTAAACTGAAACAGCTTGTACTGACACTGACAACATGAGCTGAATAAGGACACTAATACCTTCTGTAGAGTAGTTTTACAGCTGAAATTGAATTTGTTTATAATTTAATAATTTTACAACATCAACACTGTTATTTTCCTGTTTATTAATGTGAAGCTGCTTTGAAACAAACATTATTGCATAAAGTGCTTTAAAAATAAACGTGACCTGACTTGATCAGGTAAGTCAAATTCATTCAAAATACAGTAAAATAAAAACATTTAAAAAATGTATTCGTATATAGAAATTAATATTAACCAAGATTAATAAGTGATTTAAAATGATTGCAAAGTGTTGTAGAATCATTGCATTAAAACTTAAGTAGAATAATTTGTTTAGGATAAATAGCAAAGGACGAATAGGAATTAATTAGAATATTACACATCAGACCTGAACCTCCTTTTAAGGCATCAAGCTGTTAAAAGAACCATCTGTTACTATTTATGAC